TCCACGTGTAACGTTTGTAACGTTTTAAATTGACAAAAATGTGTATTTTCAAAGGAGATTGACGATAGCCGGTTCGATCATTTCTCCATTAAATACTTCAGTTATCGAAATAAACATCTCGAGAAAGTGATCTAGATAGAGAAGGTGGAGTTCGAGAAGATGATTTTGAAATTTAATGTGTGTTTTCTCTTTTTCAGACGATTTTTGTCCTATCCAGAATTGAAAATGCCACAATGAATATTGCCTCACATTGGCGGTCGAAGAAGACTACAACAGGATCATAGGTCATCATCATTACAATGATTCGTTACCTGATAGGAATTAGTAACACTTTCTATGAACCTCGCCTCTCGCAACAGTCGATACTTGGGCTCCCTTCACAGTTGAAATTTGGCTCTCGCAACTGTTGAAACTCTGCTCTCAGCACAGTTGGAACTCAGCTCGTGTCATAGTTGTAACTTGGGTCCCACTACAGATTCACCATATTTTGGACTTTTTTCGTTTTTCCTTAAGAACAGTGTTATCTGTTCAGATATCTTTCCTAACAGGGTAGAGAACGGCAACCGTCGATTAGCCGCTCAGACAAGATTAGACAAGATTATGTATCGATGGTCTAAGGTTAACCGTATCTTGGGAAATATCTAGAAATTATATTCTGAAATTTGGCAAAAGTGTGTATTTTGGTATGCTCGTAGGAGACTAACGGCATTTTGACATCAGCTGGTTCGATCATCATTTCACCAGACTTCAATAATCAGAATTATCATTTCGAGAAAATGATCTATTCAGAGTCTGCTTGGTTCGAAGGGAAGGTTTATATATTTCTTGAGTTTTCTCCTTTTTTCGATCAGAAAGAAAAATGTCACAATGACTATTGCCTCACTTCGACGGTCAAAGAAGACTCTACAACAGGCTTATCCATTCGTTATCATATCACATTGATGCTCAACTTGATTGAAATTAATAACACTTTCTCATAGAAAGTGTTATTAATTTCTCTCTCGCATCAATTGAAACTCGGCTTCCGTCACAGTTGAAGTTCGGCTCCTGTCACAGTCGAAACTCTGGTCACACAACAGTTGAAATATGACCCCTGCAACAGTTGAAACTTACCTCCCGGAACAGTAGAACCCTGGCTTGCGTCATAGTTGAAACTCAGCTCCTACCATTGATCTTCGGTGAAATTTACTCATCACGTTTACATTATTGTACATCAATTCGAAATGATTTTTGCTTTATATTCCATTTTCTGTCNATGAATGGACGTAAAAATAAAATGGACTCAGTTATTTGCCCCATTAATGGACCCAGTTATTTACCCCATGAATGAACGTACAAATAAAATGGACCCAGTTATTTGCCCTATGAATGGACATAAAAGTAAAATGGACCCAGTTATTTGCCCTATGAATGGACATAAAAGTAAAATGGAGTCAGTTATTTACCCCATGAATGGACGTAAAAATAAAATGGACTCAGTTATTTGCCCCATTAATGGACGTAAAAATAAAATGGACTTAGTTATTTGCCCCATTAATGGACGTAAAAATAAATTGGACCCAGTTATTTACCCCATTAATGGACGTAAAAATAAAATGGACTTAGTTATTAACCCCAATCATGGACTTAAAAATAAAATGGACCCAGTTATTTACCCCATGAATGAACGTAAAAATTAAATGGACCCAGTTATTTACCCCATTAAGTGAACATTTTGAGAACGAGCTGTTGAGCTGGGGATTGTCAAATATCCACCAATCATGAAATAAAAACCGACAACAAACATTCCAGAACATAAATGTGTTTTAAACATAGCATACTAATTGCAGGTTGCGATGGTCATGCAAAAAAACCAATTGTAAAAAAATGTAATAATAATAATAATCTTCCACCAACCACATATCCTTTCAGGTGCCTTCCTCCCTTAGTATCCAAGTGCTGTCGTTAGAATAGGAAGCTGAACGGAGGACAGGGTGGTATTCCCAAGTCCAAAAGTGAAAGCAAGAAGAAACCCAGCTAGTAATAGAGTAAATTTATTGTATAAAATATAATATTAAGTACAATGTTATTCACAGATTGTGGACGGATCCGTTCCTGAAATAGATATAAGTACAGTGAAGCTAAAATACAGCTACGTCCTTAGAGGCACATCTTATTGATCGCGTTGATCAACTGCAGTCAGCTATTCAGTAAATTAGAAAATAAATATATTTTCTTCAGTCGTTAAACCGTAAAACATCAATACATGCCTATAGGGACCAGCCAAAATAACAAATACATAAAACATTCGAGTATATTGTAGTTCATAAACCGATATTCATTTTATAAATTATCAACCCATTCATGAACTTTTTTAGAAACTACTTAGTCTACTTTCGCAACAATTTCCTTACAGTTATAATTAAACAACCAACTCTTGATTCTTCTTTAAAACTTGACAACCTCAAAAGTGTATAAGTACAATTTTGGTGTTTACTTTAGTATTGCTCTGTGAAACACCACTGCCCTAATTAACGGAAATGATTTGATTATTGAAGTGTACGGCGTTTGAGAGAAAAAAAAAACGTTATACAGAACTTTTGTGAAAATTTCTCTTGAAATCGAGCTTTCATGTGCAATATGTTTCTTTGAGCTGAACGGAGATTTAAGAAGCCTATCCAAAAGACACTCCAAAGTGATGATTGGGAAAACAAATATGTTGAAAAGCAATGGCCCTAAATGAGAACCCTGTGGTACATCCGATGAAACTGTGATTGAGGAAGTTACTGAGTAACCATATTTTACAAATTGTACTCTGCAGGTTGGATAATTTTCAATCCATTCCAGAATGTTTTCTTGGATACCCAAAGCTTTTAGTTTATGCAACAACAAATTGTGG